GGACAGTGATGCCAAACACAGCCAACAAACTCGGTTAGTTTCAGAGAGACAAACCAAAGCTGCTAGAATGACCCGGAACCTTCTGGACTGTGTGGCAGCACGGCGCCTGTGTGCACGTCTTCATGTGTTCAATGCTTGATCCCGGTGTCACTTCTCATTATTACACGTACTTGGAAATGTGCAAAGAATCAAAGCGTAGCTGTTTTACACTGAACATAAAAATGAGCACATATATTGAAATGTGTGCTTTGAATGATTAGTTTTGTACAGCTTACGCTGTGGGAGATGGTTACAGCCACGCCAGTGTGAGACCTTTGATGCTGTTTCCATAGTAACCCTATAAGAAGACCGCCTTTGTTCTGGTGGCGGTGTTTTTGCTCGCACATGCAGACCCAGCAGAGGAAGCATGCATGTTTTTCATGTAGTTCAGGCTCAGTTTAATATGATGACCCAGCCTTGAACTGTGGTTTAGCAGTTAGTCCTCATGGTAGGTGAAGCTGAAGGACCCTTTTTGTGGGGTCTCCTCTCGTGTGCACTTTCCTGTGCACTAATGCTACTGCACACTTGAGTGCTCACCTCCACCAAATACTGACCGTTTCTTTTCTGTTTCCTTTTCCACTCTTTCTCCATTCTCATCTCTCCTCACCCGATCCTCTGCTCCATCTGCCTTTCTGCTCCCACCACCTCCTCTTTCCATCTCCCAAACACTGTTCCACCTCACCTCTGCGGCCCTCCTTTCCCATCACCAATTCACCTTTCCTCTTCTCTACCTCCACCCTTCCTGTTTCTCCTGTGATCGGCTCCTCTAGTCTCCAGAGGGGAAAGGCAGCGAGTCCCAGCCCACTCCAGTGACCAATCGAGAGCTTCTGGGCTCCCATCTCACTGCTGATAGGCTGGGCGGGTCTGTCCAGGTACTGAGAGGAAGGGTTGGCTCTGTCTGTCTGTCTGCCTGTCTGTCTGCATGACTTCCTCTGTCTCTGCAGAAGGGCTGATCTCAAGTCTGTTACAAAGACACGCGGGACCAGTTCTTACCACATCATGTTTGATAGTGTCCTACATTAATTTGGCAGTATTTATGTCTTCACCCTTCTGTTACTGTCAGCTTTAGAGGGGGGGGGGCTCCTCTGTAGATGGAGAAGAGGTTACAAAGGTCACGTGATGATGTTTGAACACATCAGTGACAAAGAGCCATCAGTTTGATAGTGTCCTACATTAATTTGGCAGTATTTATGTCTTCACCCTTCTGTTACTGTCAGCTTTAGAGGGGGGGCCTCCTCTGTAGATGGAGAAGAGGTTACAAAGGTCACGTGATGATGTTTGAACACATCAGTGACAAAGAGCCATCAGTTCATAATTAGCAGATTAGTTATTGCTGAAAAACCAAAAGTGGAACTTGTGGCTCTGCTGATGAAACGTTTAGTCAAGTATCCAGATTACTTAAACGTGTTGATCATCGTGCACAAGTTACACCTTTTCCAATTGCCCAATCAAAGATCAGCTGGTGAGGTGGATGTGTCGGTGTTGCTGTTTGCCTCGAATACATGTGACATGGTGGTAACAGCGTCACGACGGCAAACACTTTATCTGGCAGCTGTGTCGTGCTGCGTGTCGTGCCCAGCAAACGTGCGGCGACATCAAATCAAATGTTTGGTCTGTGATTTCTGCAGGTGTGGAAGCAACACGCAGAGCTTCACAGCAGCATGTGTAGCACTGTGAGATAAATATAATGATCAAAGCAAAGATGATTTGTATACACGGGTCTGCTGTCATGTTGCTAAACACGTGTCCCCTCTGGTGACCTGTGAGCGTTTGGAATGGCGGTGGCGTGTTTTTAACACAAAGCGTTGGCAGCTGCTTTGGTCAGACGCACGCTCGGCCTCGTTCTCGTCACTTCTCTCTGACGTGTGAGAGGTTTGAGGAAGATTTCAAAGAAACGAAAAAGCAAACATTTTCATCAGCAGTAGAAACCGCGTGAAACAAACGGAGCCATCGAGCAGACGTGCCGTGTGTGCTGCATGGCAGTAAAACATGTGGACGTGTGTGCAGAGCTGTTGTGTCCACATCAAGCTCAAATTCATCCTCTCGTCTGTGTATGAAGCGTTTTAGTGTTTAATGAAAAACCCCAAATTGACCCCAAACGCCACCTGGGTGGGAACCAGCAGCTGGATCTGACTGAATGTGGACATAATGTCGACTTTTTTGATTTCTTTTCTTTGTTCCACCAAATTTCAGAAGTGTGACCTCTGTGCTCATCACGCTTCTCCAATTCTGTCCTTCAGGTGATGAGTTCAACCAACGGTGAGCTGAATACGGATGACCCCACTGCAGGACACTCCAATGCACCAATCACAGCCAACCCAGAGGTTGAAGTCGCTGACGATACCAAGTAAGAATTCAAGAATTACAATCTTTTTTTATTTTTCACTTCAGTGTAGGTTCAGTTTTTTCTTTCAGCTCAGATTTAAACTGAGAAAGTGTACTTTATTGGTCCCCGTGGGGAAAATCGCTCTCTGCATTTAACCCATTCACTCAGTGAAGCAGTGGGCAGCCATTGGGCGCCCGGGGAGCAGTGTGTAGGGACGGTACCTTGCTCAGGGGTACCTCAGGGTAGCTGTTCAGGGGAATCGAACCCCCGACTTTCTTATCATGGGGCCACCACTCTACCTACTGAGCTATCCCTGCCCCTAGGAAACGAGACGTTCCTGTGGGCGGTGCTGTAACACACTCACACCCAGCATCACTGCTTCACACACACAGTAGGCTTTTACTCTGAAACTTCCTGCTTCAGGAAGTGCTGACTCTGCATTCACTGTATGTTGACAAACCTGTCACAGTGCTGTGTGATTGTATCATCAGCTAGCTGTGCGCCTCTCAGCCACTGCACAGGCTGAGCCCATCTTTGGGGATAACACAGTAATAACTGTTTTGGGAACATTACATATTAATAATGTAATCAGCAGTGATGGAGCAGACGATGGGACACACAGGAGGCTATAGAGATCGACAGACCACGT